GAGAAGCCGGCCATGTGGACTGGGGTGAAAGAAGAGAAGCCAGCCGTGTGGACTGGGGTGAAAGAAGAGAAGCCAGCCGTGTGGACTGGGGTGAAAGAAGAGAAGCCGGCCGTGTGGACTGGGGTGAAAGAAGAGAAGCCAGCCAAGTGGACTGGGGTGAAAGAAGAGAAGCCGGCCATGTGGACTGGGGTGAAAGAAGAGAAGCCAGCCGTGTGGACTGGGGTGAAAGAAGAGAAGCCAGCCGTGTGGACTGGAGTGAAAGAAGAGAAGCCGGTCGTGTGGACTGGGGTGAAAGAAGAGAAGCCAGCCATGTGGACTGGGGTGAAAGAAGAGAAGCCGGCCGTGTGGACTGGGGTGAAAGAAGAGAAGCCGGCCGTGTGGACTGGGGTGAAAGAAGAGAAGCCGGCCGTGTGGACTGGGGTGAAAGAGATACCTGAGGTCAACATTCTGATCTAGTGTTAAGCGAGGTCACACCACGCGCGCTTTGGGCGCCAAACATGGTTTTCGTACTAATAGCGGTTGTTTCAAAATAACAGGGCATACACTGCCACATTATAATTTACCACAATTATAGTTATAGACTATATACTCAACTACTCTGTCATATTTGAACCATGCAATTGCGCCTAGTCTAGGAAATCAGCCTCGGATCGCCACCCACCCCCCCCCCCCCAATGACAAATGGACCACTCTCCTCAATGACAGTGGCGTCACCACGGCTGATGTCAATCATTGCGGTGAGACGCATTGTGTCACCCCCTCAGACCCCCCCCCCCATGGACCTCCTCCGAGTCTGCTTACTGTAGTGACCCCCTGCGCTGGTGGCACCAGTGATCTGATGCGCCTTGCCAGTGGTGTAGCTAGGGTTAGTGCCGACCGGGGCCATTGTTTTTCCCACTTCCTTTCTCCATAAAACTCGGCAACTGGCCGAAAATGCCGCCCCTCTATATAAAGAACAAATATTTTGAGACGTTTTCCCAAATCTTAAAAGGAAACGGCAAGATATCTATGCGTATGACATGCCCCAATTCTAGGAAATTCGATGAAATTGGTGGAGGCTGGCAGGAAACTTTTGAATTCAGAGCAACGAAACGTTGTGATTCAAAGCCTGTGGAGCAAGAGCAGCTTGAATTCGGGAAGAGATTTTAGATTTTACTTCTAAAGTTGACAAATTGAATAATGGTTTAAAGAAGACACTGGTGTTGTTTTTCATTATTATGAAAGTAATAAATAACGAAAACAGCGATTATGATAATAATGGGGCACAGGATTCAGAATGTTGCATACCGAACGTGACTACAGAGCACATTAGTCATTTTAATTTATTTTCAGATGTATATTCAGAATTGTTTACTGGTTATAAATATTTATTCTTCCAGTATCCCATTTTACACGCCAATGAAGTTTATCGATAATGAATTTTTTTTTAAAAACCCGTGTGGAGTGGCTGATCTCCTACCGGGCGCATCTCCAGGTGGTGGATAAGGGGTAACCCCCACCCCCCACCCCCCACCCCCTGTATGCTAGGTACTGGGAAATAAAATACCAAGGGTGAACCAAGCCAGCAACTGCCGCATTGCAGTTAGTAAAGAGATGTGCAACGGCTATGAACCTAAAACAAACAAAAATGTAGCTACTCTGAGCGCTGTAAGGGGTATCTCTTAATGCGGTTGTGTGTGCAATGCACAATATTGCAAAATAAAAAAATAAAACATTTAAAAACTGATTGGATAACCCCGGATGGATTTAATTCAGTATTCCCAAACTTTTTTGTGCCATGCCCCCACCTAAGCCTTTCTAATATTCGTACCCCCCCCCCCCCAATATCTTATACATCATTTTTAATATTTAAAAAATAGAGTTGTTCACTGAAGACACTTAAATGATAGGTTTTAGGAAGAAATCACGAGGAAATTGGTGAAGAAACATAATTAGTAAATTTTCAAAACATTTAATGGAGAACTGAAATTCAATTACGAAATAATTTTAATGAAATATTTTTCTATGTTATTTTAATTATTAGTAATTATTATTTAAATTTTGTGAGATGCTTATGCTTAATGCTTGCTGCAGAGATTTTATGTTAGTTCCAATTTAGTTAGCTTCAGTCCCCTGTCCCCCACCCAGCCAATTTTTTTGTTTTCTTGTAGGCTAAATGTTCAGCAATTCCCGTGAGCCAAGCTGATTTATCCAAATCGCCCGAGCCGATTAAATACCGTTACCTCAATCCACCCATTTCCACCCCCCCCCCCCCCCCATAAAATTGTTTATGATGTAGCCTATTCATTTTCATCAATAACACTAAAATCTAAAATTTAGAGTGATTAGATTGAGAAACATAATTATGATGAGAAATTGAGGAGAGCGGGTTGGGGGGAGGGGGGGGGGTTCACATTACGCAAGCTATTTATAGACCATATATTTGAGTTAGATGAGGGGTTAGGGATTTTTCAATTTCCCGGAAAAGGAAAATGAAACAAAAAAATTCCTGCAATTGTTCATCTGTAACCTTCGCCTTCGCCATTCTTTATTACACCTGTTAATAATAAGTGGAGAGCTGGTTTCCTCCCACTTTCATGTTTGAAACTTTAATTTTCTATATTTTTAAAGGATTAATGATCGTATGTTTAAACAGAAAATCAAAGCAAAATGATTCGTTGAAATGATTTAATAATCGAATGGGCCCAGCCGCGGCGCCCGCGGCCTAGCTAACTTTAATTAAATTTTAATTTAAATTAGTATCAGTATTAGCTTTCTTAGAATAACTTTTAGATTACTAACTTTAACTTAGATTTAGTTAGAAGTAAGAATTCTACTTTTCTAAATTCTAATTTATATTTTAGGTCTACTCGTCTAAGTTAGGTCTACTCGTCTAAGTTAGGTCTACTCGTCTAAGTTAGGTCTACTCGTCTAATCTAAGTTCTTAGTCTTCTTAATCTTATGGTCACAATGACACCGAGTGACTAAATTTAAATCATTTCCCTTTGCATTTTGTTTTAGTAAGTAACGGAAATATTGTACTCTAAATTAGTCGAATTATAATTTAGAAGTTATAGAACTTTTAACTCACTAAGTTGTTAAATCTTTAGATCTAGTTACTACACTTTAGACTACAGTTTATAATAAATTAATAAGTAATAATATAGACTGCAGTAGACTCTTTTAAGTTCAGACCTTAATTTAATAACCTTACTAATTACTAAACTTTAATTAAGGTCCAAGTCCAATGTGGGGTCTGATTTTTAAAAAACAGCAATAAACAACAAAAATAGTATAGTAAATTATGAACAGTGACTTGAGTATGCCTAGGCCTATTTTTCTAAAAATATTTTTTATAAATTATTATAGGCCATAATTAGAATATGATAAAAATAATGCATTATTTTGTTTTTATCCACAGTCCACACTGGCGATCTGGGAAATATAATCATCTGATAATATAAAAATAAAAGTGAGATTTATGGCATAGATGGATCATTCTTTTTAAAAAGTGTTTGTTTTTTTACATTAAATATAAATATAAAAAAAATGTAATATGTGAAAGTGACATAAATGATTTTATTTTAAAAAAACATTTAATAGTCATAATTAGCAGGCATAATAAATATGGAGAAGATTTGTTAAAATTTATTTTAGCCCAGAGCCCAGATCTCAGCTAACTAATTATAATTAAATCACTTAAAGTAAATTACAACAGTTAAGTAAATTACAACAGTTTGTAATGAGATTATAGTTTTAACCATTGGGTTCCCATATCATATATCTGGTAATTCAGCAGGCTGTCTAATCAAATTTTTTCATTAAATACCGGTAATATAATCATAATATATATTATTATATATATATATAATGGATTAATCCCAAACCCCATTGAGCCGCTCCTCCTGCTTCAGGGTTGCAAACTCAACAGAATAAAATTCTTAATCTGCATAATTTTTTTCTGCCAACATTCTTAGGGACATATTTTCAAAGTACACTTGTTGATACTATGAAGCTAACACTACTAACAGTAGGACTATATTTATTTGACTATATGACTATAAACTAATAATATGTCAAATATACTTGTCTTATGACAATGTTACTATGACTATGTCTCTGTCTAAGACTGTCTTATTTTTTTATGTTTTATTTTTATTGATTTGCACTCTCACCAGTCTTGAATTTCTCCTTATTTTGATCCTAAAAGTTTCAAGCAATCAAGAGGAAATCACACACATTTAGATTTTTTTATTTTGTTGGGCTCTAAAAATAATTGTAAAATGTCTCATTTTTTAACAACCATTCTAAAGTTTTTACAAACAAATTAAGGACCAGACAGTTTAGATCACATTTTTACATGCTGCCTATACATTTACCAATATTTGGCAACCCTTGTGCTCTTCTTAACACACCCTCCACAATTGTTTTCCGCTTGGGATTGGAAGGTTCCAGTATTTTTTTAAAAGTTTGAATGAAAAATAATTAAAAACGTCTTTACATCATTTTTTTTTAAAACTAATATTAAGAAGTAAAGTGCTTCAAATCTAGTTATTAGTAGGCTAATTTCTTTTATATTTTTTAATAGACAACTTTTCATAAATTAAATAGATCATATTAAGTCACTCATAATTAACAAGATGATATAAATTAATCAAATGAGGCCAATTGAGGAAAATGTTGTTTGTCCAATAAAAGTCATGAAAAGGCCTTTTTTATGCTTTAAATAACTCCATTAGTTTTTTAATCATCGTTTTTAGTGAGACATTTTGTGATGATTTTTTAAAATAACATTGAGGCATTTTATTTTATTGTAATAGAAATAGTTCAATTTTTTATGTTTTTGTTAAAATGTAATCATACAATTTTCATTATTGCATATTACCATGTAAAAAAACAAAATAAATTACATAAATAAAATACATGTGTTCAAATAATTAAATCATCAGGGACATCAGGAAAATTATCTTTTCAACATATTTAAAAAATATTATATCTGTTCTCTTTCTTCAAGCTATTTTGTTCTATTAACTAGTTTAATATTTAATCCTAAGCTTCACTTTGCTGTCTCACCATGAATGCACAAGAGTGGGAGAAGCTAAGACAAAACTGGTCAGAGCTTCTGGAAGTCCAAGCACAAGAACTTTCTTATCATCTTTATGAAGTATGTGGCTATAAAAATATTTTTTAACTTATGTCAAATGTTTAAGATTGATGAAGGTCTAAAAATGTTTCTCAATGGTCTAAAATAATTTAAAAATTGGTATTTCTTGACAAAAGGCACAATGGAATTTTTTAAATCGTATTTATGTCTTAGATATAAAATTTTCAAAAATTTAAGAAAATTATAAAGATTAGCTTTCATTTCAATAAAGAAAAACACAAAATGATGTTTTTTTTAATTTAAAAAAAACAATAGAAAGGCATACTTGACTCAAATGACAAGGATATCATTGCCAGTGTTAGAACAAACACAGAACAAATGGATAAACTGTTGAGCATCCTCCAGAAAAAACCACTTAAGCTTTGTGTATTCAAGTAAGTTTAATGTTGATTATGATAAATGTCAATAGAACTGAACAATAGGGACTAGTATAATTTAAATTTCACAGGGACAGTTTAACACATCAAAATATAGGCTCCTTATATTTTATCAATTTTTAATTGATTTAAAAAGATATCTTTAATGTGAAAGGGTGCAGCAAATATTTTACTTCTACAAGTTTACACAATTGAGCATAATTTAATGCCTCTGTGTTAAAATTTAGTTATCACTAATACAAATAGATCATACATAATGGTAGGATGGAATTGGAAATGATTAAAAAATCAATAGTTACACATACTTCTTTTGTTTAATTGCTATACATTTTATAATTTATATAAACTCATATAATCTAAGGGTCCTTCTGAGTGCATTGGAAATTCACAATAAATGGCTGGCAGATAAAATTACAGAGACGGTTTCCAAAGCAGATGCTTCAATTTGTTCTCAAGGTATTTGAATATCATTTTTCATGAAGCCCTATTATTATATAAATATTACAATCCTCAGTAATAATATTTCTTTTTCATTTAACATTAAACACAATCCCAATCACACACACACATTTTCTTTAGTTTAGACTTGTGAAAAGTCCAAATTGAAAATTCAGTACATAATTTTAAATATATATATTTGTTTAATTATTTTATAATTTATAGAATCATTGAAGCAGAGCTATGTTTTTGTTTTGACATGTGGGGCCATCCATTAATGACATCACACTATTTTAGTCGATTCGTAAGCCCCCTCCCCCTTCATTATCAAGGGCTCTGGCCTGCTCCACCACATTTATCCATTCAGACCAATCTATGGCTTTTAGTCTCCTTGCCCAGACCCCCAGCTAATGTAAATCCATCTCTCCTTCATCAATCCATCTTAGTCTTGGTCAACTGGTGAGAAGTCTTCCACTAGTCTTTGCTTCTCTCTGTAAACCATGTTGGCCCTGCTATGATCCGGAAACCTATCAAGGTCTCCTGTCCAGCTCAACCTACCTTTTTTTAATTGCCACAACTATGGTTGGGTCTTTGTACAACTGGTATATTTCTTCCTTTGTTTGAATTCTCCCTCCATCATTATTCTGTACAGGCCCTAAATTCTGAGGATTTTCCTCTCACATATTGAGTAGGTGTTCGGGGTTTCTTGCATACATCAGTAGTGGTCTCATAATAGTGAGGCATGTGGTTTTCTTTATTCTTCTTGAGAGATTTCTGTTCCCTAATAACATTTGTTGATTTAAATATAAGAGGTTGCCTGCTGTTATACTTTCCTTCAAATCTACCATTATTGCATTGAGCTCATTTATAGCACCTCCTGGGTATTTGAATGTATCCACTCTCTCAAAGGTGTGTTATGTTTTTTTTATTTTTGAGATTATCATATGTATGTCTGCTATATGAAATCATCACAAAATTTAGACACCCCATAACATTATCCCAAATTCATTACAGCCCCATCCCCTGGTGCGTGGCATCCTTTATGGGTGGTCCCTTTGATTATTTTGATAGATCTATTAAAATAAAATAATCTGTAATCTTTCCAGTGGACCCCCACCTCATTGATGAGAAAGTAAGATTTCTACTGCGTCAATACTACACAAATAAACCTGGGACAGTTCCACTTTTAGAAATTAGAGAAATATTGAAGTCAGATGGTGTTTTTACAGGACAAAATGAGTGGTCCAATGAAATGTTGATACATTTTATAAAATGTGAATTTCTTGGTGTAGTAGTTGTAAACCATAAAAAGCCAAATCTGAAAAATAAGAAACCAACAATGTATCCTTTGATAAATTCTACAATTAAGATCTGAAAATAGTATTTGCATATCTTTTTTCTTATTATCTTTTTCTCATTTGACATATTGATTGAAGTTTCATTTGTGACTTGCTTTCCTTAAATTTTATTCAAGTTCATAACAGATCATAATAGAATTTCTACTCCACATTCTCGTCCTTATGATATGAATCAAATAGCCCCATCCCATAACATGGCACCAATGTGGAAAAACTATAGTGGAACTTATCATGTTGTCTAAGTTGTTACATAACCTACCTGTGTAGAACTCAAATAATATTTGGTACAGGTAATATTAACATACTCACATATTGTGACAGCCTGCTAATAAACAAACAACACTGTTCCGACTTGGTAAACACAAATATAATCCGTTCATTATTTCAGATTCATTGAACTGAATTTTGTTAATAATTTTAGAAAGAGACATCAATTGGGGATGACAGGAATTAGGGAGGTTAACAGTTTATTATTTATGATGTAAAACCTTTTGAGCAATCTCAAGCAATAATAGGATTTAGGAAAGCTATCAACTAAAATTTTGAATAACCACCACCAGAACTATTGTAGATTTAACAGATTTATTTTTTAAAAGGCTCTTCACATATTTTAGTTACAACAAAGTTAGCTGAAAGTGAAATCTATTAGTTCAGGGGATTTTTACTTTGTCCCCACAGAAAACATTTGCACCTAGATTTAATTAATATTAAAATTAACAGCCCCTGAAAACTAAGTTTTTTTGTTTCAATCCTTTATAAAATGTAATATTGAGCAATATGGGGGGGGGGGGGGGGGGGGTTGTAAGGCTGAAAATTTGACAAAACATGCATACAAGTAACACACTTTATAAGAATCCCTCCCTCTCCCCTCCAAGGCTCGCAACTGACTATTTTTTTTTTCATGCCCCTGAACTATATTAATATTTTAATGATCCACCCACTTTTACACCACAGATTTATTTCACCAACTATTTCAGAAAAACAAAATATATAACGCACTTGGGATATTTATTTTTAAGGAATCTCATTTAGGGCAGTAATCTGAAATTTTCCTGCATGTTCCCCTTGAAAAGCAGGAAAACCGGATTTTTTTGGGGGGGTTGTGTTAAGGGGTGGGGCTGAAATTTTTATAGAATGTGTTGTCATTGGCAATGAGTCTATATTCCTTGTCCTAGCTCAATAGGTTGACAGGAAGTGGGTCAATTAGCCATATGCAGGTTTTGCCTGCCTCCAAACCACGCACAAACAAAAGCGAAGTTAATATAAAGGATTTAAAAAAGAATTTAAATTATTATTTTCATTGATCATAATTTTGATTTTCCGTTATAATGAGATAAATTTTACTAAACAAAAGTTAGCACTCCCTTTATTTTACTTGAAAATCTTGTTATCTATGCGCTTATCAATTTTAGGATACTGCTAAACTAATTTTTATTACAAAATTGCAGCCTGATTAAATTGCAGATTCATTCAATACTTCAGTCTTGTCGCATAAGACTAAACTAGTTTTGAATCTATCAAATTTTTTGGTCTCTGTAGTTCTGGAAAGTATTCATTAAACATGATGATCTTTAACTGGTTTTTATAAGACTTTTGAAAAATATTGATAAAATTGATCCATCTGAAGAAGTACTGGCATCTCCGAGTGTTGAGGGGGACAAAAAGGGTGAGCTGCAGTTTAAATTTCCCCAATTTTTAATTATAAATTATAAAAGTTTAACAGTTTGAACCGGTAATTTTAGAATTTAAAAAATATACTTTAATTTCTTCTTTAAAAATATATTGGCAAGATTTGTTAGAGATATGTTTTTGGCTTGTTTATAAAATCTTTTATTTATGATTGTTAAAATATTTTAAGATTTATTAAAAATAACATTTAATGTTTACAATACCAGGTACACATAGTTCACTATCCTTTCATCCCAACCTTATGCCATATTAATTTATTAATTTTTTATTTTTTTTGCCTACAAGAAATTTTAAAACACTTTTATTTTCAATTTCCAGCTCAAAAAGAACTGAAAGATATGAATCCATCAGAATTAAAACAGTTCCTGATCCCTGAATTTGAAAGTCAAGGATTTGATAAGAAAATACTGGAAGACCTGGAAAGAGAAAGCATTTCTGGCAAAGTTTTTATGACAATGAAAGAAGAGGACTTTAAAGAGACCATACCCAGTGCTAATTTTGGTGTCAGGCGCCTTCTGAAAATGGTGATTGAACAGTGCACAAAAACAGTTGAAAGTAAACCCATGCCCGAACATTTGTGTAAGTTTGACAGCATTGTTGGACCAACAGATAAGTACGTGAAGGGCCATTGTGCAGATGTAAACTCATACCTCAGGGGCAAGACAACAACTCCCGTCAGAAATTTTCATTTAGTTAAAGATGATGACAAAGAGGTGGAGCTGGATGACATGTCTATGAAAGTGGTTACTTTTGCATCTGCCTGTCTGAATGACAGACGAAATGGCACAATTTATTTTGGCATCAGTCCATCAACAGGAGATGGTCATAAAACTGGTGAAATTGTAGGAGTCAGTCACCCTCAAGAAGTTGTACAGGATAGGATCAATGCCTACTTGACAAGTGCGTTCTCAAGTGTCCAGAAAAATGTTATTTCGGGAACAATAAGGAATGCACGCTTTGTACCGGTCATTGATGATGACTTCCCTAAAACTGATGTTTTTGTTGTTGAAGTGGATGTCTTACCGAATAGTTCAATGATGGCAGAAGAAACCATCAGAACTAAACTCAAACATCTAACAGAATATAACAAGAAAGATAGCAAATCTGCTGTATTCAGATTTTCAGATGAGGGATACCCAGCTATCGTGTCTCCAGATGAAATGACTAATTATGAGCGAGACAAATCACGGATTATTCAACAGAGGAAACAAGACGAAAAAAATTCCATTGTTGAACCAACTCCTGACTTAAGGGTAAGGCTCCGAAATTTATTGACTGGAGGAACTGAGAAGTTTGAGGATACCAGCTACATCTTCCTGATGACGAGTCCTATAGACTCGCACATGGACCAAGCATATCTCCTAAAAAATGCATCATTTATTAAAAATCTTAGGCCAGAAGTTGTTTTTGATTTTGATCCAAAAGGCTCCACTGACGGGATCTACAATAACTTGGACAGCCAACAAGAAGAGAAAATGAGGGTTTTAGTTATACCAAACAATTTTGAAAAAGAAGGAAAGAAACATGAAGAATACACCAATTTTCTTGATGGTCTTGCAAATGAAAGTAAAATTTCGTGGATATTTTGCAATGGTTACACTGAAATGTCCATTGACCCGATGACGCCCACAGATTGGAACCGAAAGAGAAGGTCAGCTTTTCAAGATGGACTCAAGTTTTATATTGAAAATTTTAACAAGGACAGAATTATCTTCATGATCTGTTTATTTTCTAAAAACTACAGTGCTATGATTGAGGCATGTGATGAGGTTGTTACCAAACTTCCAGAAAATTGGTTGCTCATCGCTGAGACGGAATCCGTGGCTAAACTGTGGCAGGATCAAATCCTGGCAAGGAATAGAGTGGAGAAGAAGGATCTGTTGGATCGTTGTGTAATTGGCATGCCGTGGGAACAAATCAACACAACGATTAATCAAACCTTAAGAGAGCCAGAATCACATGAATGCTATCTTCCATGCTCTACTGGAGCTCTCATTGAAGTTCGTGAGAAAAAGCTCAAAGACTGGTGCGACATTGATGTTTTATCAGCTGGAGAGTTCAAGATTCCCGAAGCAGGGAAGGAGAAACGAAAAAAAGACATGGAAGAAAATTTTTACAAAGGAGAGCAGGTAGATTGGTTAAACTTCTTCTTTCATGATCAGGTACTAAAAAGAGATATTCATCAGGAGTTCAAGAAATTAGTTATAGAAGCTGTACAAGGCAGAGGTAAAGATGAAGAAGACAAAGTGACAACAGTTGCTATCCTCCACCAACCCGGAGCAGGGGGTACGACATCTTCTAAACAAGTGCTGTGGGACTTGCGTAAAGAATACCGTTGCTGTGTTGTTAACACCATCACAGATCAAACTGCGGATCAGCTGGATGAAATAAGGTGTTTTGGGGATTCTAATCCTAAACCTCTCCTCATTCTCATTGATGATGAAGATGAAGAAAAATATAACCAGATTGCAGCGAAACTGGAAGAAAAGGGAAGACGAAGATGGAGGGATCAACAAGAATCTTTTAATGTGTACTGCACAATAATTTTGTGTACACGTCGCACATCTTTACCAAAGCAATTAAAAAGCCGACAGATTTCCCTCCGCCAAGAACTCAATATAAACGAGTTGGATTGGTTTAAAAAAAAAAGTGAAACACTAAAATCGAGATTTGAGAGGAACAAAGACAACAACGTGAACCCTAAATTCTTAATTTCCTTCAACATTCTGAAAGAAAACTTTAACAAAGATTATGTCTCAAAGGTAGTCAAAGAATTCTCTGATGATGTCAAAAGTCCTAAAGAGGTGAAATTATTAAAAGTGGTTTCTCTGTTAAATAGCTTCGATCCTGACTTCAAGCCCATTAGAGTATCTTGTTTAGATAAAATTTTGGAGAACCAACAAAATCACAGGGTAATGCCGCAACATCCCGGGAATTTAAAACGCAATGTTGGGTGGGAAGCAAACTTGAGCCAAGGTGTGAAAGTGCTGCTAAACTTATCCTCCAATAGAAACCAAGCAGGCAAGGCAAGGAAATGCCTACGTGTGTTCAACAAAGTCATTGCCCAGGAAATTTTTAAAAAGATGAAAGAAAGAACAGGACAAAAAGAAAGTGAAATTATGCTGGAGTTGATAGAGTCGGGTTTATATGAGGAACCAACATATGATGCAAAACACTTTCAAGGAATTATCAATAGTGTGATGAAGAAGCGTGAATATAATTCGGATGGCAGAAAGCATAAATTTTCACAGTTTGTGCTCTATGTACAGCAAAACGAAGGTGCAGAGGTAGCTTTAATGTTGCTGGAAAACTTATTTGAGATGACAAAAGATCCATTTACAGCCCAGCAAATTTCGAGATTCTACATAGAGCTGAAGAACTGGTCTCGAGCTGAGTTTTATGCCAAAAGAGCTACAAGTTTGCTGCCAGGCAACTCTTTCTTATGGGACACTCATGGACAAGTGTTCAAGAATCAGCTGTATGACAAGTTGGCTTCACAAAAAACACTGGAAAGAGCAGAGGGTTTCAATCCAAGTGAAATTCATAAGCTAATAGAGCTGACAGAAAGTTGCATAAATTGCTTCAGAAAAGCACAAAAGATAAGTGAAGATGAATTTACCACGGGCGGAGAGAACAACTTTGCCGGTTATTTTGGGGAGCTCAGAGCCATCGTTATACTTCTGAGTGCTCTTAAACTGTGTCCTGCTTTCAACAAGGATGATATGCTTCACCGTTACCTAGTTGACCAGCAATATAAGCTTAGCTGCTTTGATGAGCATGATTCGGATTATCTAAAGAATTTGGAAAAGTTTGCCACTGAAGCCATGAGACGTCTTGATGAGGAATATCTTCAGATGAAAGGAAACATTAACTTAGACATTGTGGCCCCTAAATTTGATTTTGACAGAAAATCCCTTTTAGATTTAAAAGTCAACCTTGATGACTATTTTGGAGAACCAAATGATGCTACACCAAGAAATTTATGTGAAAGTGATGCATGTGAGTATCGTTTACGTCGTGCCAGGAAATTGGGGGGGACTTCTTTGAATCTATTGCTAAGAATGAGACAAGATGGCCAACTTAGTAGTCTGGTACAGATTTATAATCTGCTGATTGAAAATGTGAACTCACGTATCAATTTTGATGACCTGAGATCAATACTGGACACTGTAACAGTTTATTTGCTGGACTACTCGCCACCTCCAGGTCTTGAATATGAACAAATTCTAAAATGGTGTAAAAAACTTTATTCTTTGAACAGCACCAACATAAGTGCTCGTTCATATCTGGAAATATATCTTTACTATGTACTGTACAACTTTCCAACAGATGAGAGACAAGGTTTTGAGCTGTGCATGCCTTTAGATTTAGTGAATGCAATTCATAATTGGCATTTAGCATTCATAAAGAATTATCCAAAATGTACAAGGGAAGAAATTCGTCTTAAAAGAAGAGAAACAACCCTGTTTTTCTTGGGAAATGGAAAACCATTACAGGATATTGTACATCAAGACTCTCTTGAAGTCATGAGTGATTTTTCCTTGCAAGAGAAATGGCAGCTCCAAGATGTTCGTGCAAAACTGAGATTGCAGATGGGAATATTGGTGCATGGAGGCGAAAAAATTAATATGTCCATAATCACGAAAGAAGGCAATAGATTTGAGCTGATAATTCCTACTTCTCACAGAGTAACCAAGAGGGACATGTGGCAAAAAAGGGTTTACTTCTACATTGGCTTCAGCTTTTCAGGACCCAGGGCATTTGGAATGACCTTAAATGAATCTGTTCAATCTGTTCCACATCCAATGCATGTTAAACCAGCTGTGTTTGTGCCCAGTAAAAAACAACCTCCACCAACCCTGTTACAACTCTTTAGGGACTTGAAATATACAGAAGCAGAGATTGAAAAGAATAAGGTAGGCCAAAGCTATTTGTTGAATAATACATAAAATAAACAAGTCTTGAGCATGGATAAAAGTGGTGCTGATAAATTTGGGCTGTGTTCAGTTGTACTTACTGAACATGTAAAATGGCTGTCATATTTAGAAAAAGAAAAAAAAAGATAAAATTATGGGGCCTGAATGTTAAGCATCTCTGTGAGTTTTTGACTATAATGCAGTATAATCCTGAACTTTGTACACCATTCAGCAACACCATAGCTGAAATTAACATTTGTTTTTGTTCAAAAGTAATAAAAGATGTTATCTCATTATTAAATATAATATGTTTAAATAAACTTTTCTTACTTTTTTTTCCCCAGAACAATCCAAAAGCAAAAGCAATATTGCTAAGGAAGCATGAAGAAATTTCTGCTGCCATGAAGAAATTGGTAGGAGAGTAATTGTGTCTGCTAAAGTTGAATTTAAGTGGGTCTTAAGTTTATTTTGTCTCATACATCTTGAACATTAGGAGTCCAATTTGGCATAAATTAAAAGAAGGGAATGTAGGACTAATTATTGTCATAGTTCTTAGTTAACAAATTAAATAAATAAGTTTTTATCTGAATTTATTTTTAAGTGTCAATTTTTTCTGTTTGAATAGTTAATACCTCATTAATATTTGATAGAGTAACTGTACTTAAAAGGCTATATATAATAAGTAGTTTCAAACTTACATTCATTTCATTATTTTCAATAATTAATAATTTCCATGAAGTTTGTATATTTATAATTCTATTTCATTGCTGAATATTAGTATGTAAACTCAAAGGAAATTTTCATCCAATGGTGAGACTGTGATATCAATAAATTTTTGCCCATCCATGCATGTTTAAATAGTTTAGTAATTTAATTTTCCCTGAAATAAAGCCCCTGCGTAGAGAATCATAGAGACCCAACAGATATAATCATTTTTTAGCTCATAAACACCATAATCTAAAGCGGATGTGATATCCTTGGCTTAAGTCTACATAATTTTTATAGAAAAATTTTAATAAATTATACAATTTGTTATCCCCACGGTCTTTTAAAATATTCTAAATTTTGAAATTTTTTTTGATGAATTTTGTCATTTGTATTTGAAATTAACCAATTTAAATGTATAATTTACAATTTTCTATAAAACAGATAGTTTTAACCTTGTGTTTAGATTATCATTTAACTGACTTAAGAAATTATTTTCTAAAGCGATAACCCCATTTGTAGTATATTCACTTAAGTCTGAAAGATATAAAATAATGACACCAAGTTGAGTAGGATCATTTAGCACTGTTTTAAGCAAGTCCAAAGTAAAAACATTTTTTAGCTAACTATAACAAATTTAAAAAAAAAAAAGAAAGATATTTTAATTTTAGATGTGTCATTTCACCATTTTAAAAAAAATTAAAAATTATTTGTCTCATGTCGCCTACCGAACTAAGACATGGAAGATTTTATTTACATTAAATTTTTATGCACATTTTTTGTGCTGCAATAAAAAATGTATCTCATTTTATATATATACCTACTATCGAAATGCTTTAACCTTCGTGATATTTCTAGTTGATGAGGCAATAATTTGAAATGCATTTTAGAATACTATTTTATTATTTAGGGCCAATAATTTTGTACTGCTCTTTTTATTAAATTTAATACCTGCTGTTTTCTTGTTTTTTTTTACATTACAATTGGATCTATCTATTGGATGGCACACACAGGGCGTGCCAGAAGATGAAAGGAGTGGAAGGGGTGGGGGGCACATAAGAAATTAATCACTCATAAAATTGATTGTCCTCATAAAAAAGGCTTTCGTATTATTTTATAACTAAAATATAACTTAAGCATAAATTAGACTTTCAAATAAATATAAGTTTTATTATCAAGAACTGGGTTATTTATAGAGCTATTTACCACTTCTAGATTGTAATCTTTCCCCTGCATTCGTTTGTAAAGTCAGGTTAGTTGGTAGCGCAGCTTTCCAGGGGATGCTTGGCCAAATTTTATGGACATTCTCATTGGATATCATTGATGCAAATGGCTAAATCTAGACAAAATTTTTCCCTAATTTATCTTGACTCTTCTTCTTCTATATCTTAAGGGCCCACGATCAATTTATTGATCATTTTGGCTCCTATGCATGTAGATGGGATTTGCAATGTTTCTGTTACTGGTGTTGATGAGGAAATCATGCACTAGGGGTTTGAAGGATTGAGGCAATAGACACAAATGTGTCTAAACCAGCAGTGGCAAACCTACGGCACAACCTAACCTAAAGGGTTAACATGTTATCAGCATGCATGCAAAAAAAGATCACATTAAATGTGTAAAATTTTACCTTATAATTAAAATTTGTTGGCATCATTGAAACCTGTTTGTATCATTGAAAGCTTTTGTTTTTTTCTCCTAAGACAAAAGATGTCAGTCTAACAAGTTGTTCTATTCTTGTCTACAACCTCAGGCGTAAAGTTAAATTGCAGTTTTGTTATTTAGCTATATATAAGGGAATGTAGGCTCTCAATATCCCCAAGTATTCAGTTCACTTTTTAACTTCCTCATCTTGCTTTCAGAGATTAACCATCATAGTTTAAAATTCAAATTAAATATTCTCTTTGATGATCGTAAACATCATTATTGGGAACAGTTGCTAGAGTTTATAACGCCTGGGGCAGGCATTGATTTTGTAGCCCCTAATGAACAAAAACTAAAAAGCATTAAAAAAGTATCTATCAATATACACATTATGTGATGGGGGCCAAAAATGCCACCCTAAAAAAATATGTTGCACCTCTCCACCACCTTTTCCAATGGCAGTGCATAGAAGGCAGTCTTTAAGTATTTGTTTCTTAGTAAAATATTCTGCATTAATGTTATATTTTACATTAATGAAATATCCACAGAATATTAAAACTATTCAGTCACCAATAATATGAGAAATTATTGATTTTACAGCTAAATGAGGAGTATTATTAAAGTTATTGTAACATAGAGAGTGAAAAGCAATAAAAATTTAATAAGTTTTATGAGCTTGCCAATGTTGAGTTCTGCTAATCGATGTATTTTATACATATCTGAATTGATTTTTTTATATATCTTTTAAAAATTATGTATATTAATATTATTTAAGATTTTAATAAATATTTTTTGGTATGTCTAAGCCAGCTGTTTTCAAATTTTATAAAATGAACTAAAAATGTTTAATACATATTTTTAAATATCAAGAAAAATATTTTTTGTTCACTTAATAGCAGCAAGAAGCAAATTACTGGTATTATAATTATTGGATCATAATTATAGATGCCATGTATAATTTTACTTTGAATAACCCAATACCAGTACTTAAAAGAAAATGAGCATCTATATTTTTAAATACTTTTAAAATTGCCTATAAATATTTTTTAGGACCTTTCACATCATTCTTATTCAAAACTGCTTGGTCTAAACTATATTTAGAAATAGAATTCAATGCTCATTTTTTCATTACTTTTTATTTTAAGTTGTATTAATGACTTTGCTTTAATTTGGCATAATATAATAAAATATTATTATTCTATGAATTATACATGCTATTTATAAAAATGTCTCATAATTGATTTGAATTCAATTTAGGAATTCTATTTTATTGAATCAGACAACTTAGCTTTATGGATGTAATTGTTTGTTAAACTGCCATAAATAGCTTTTTTATTTTTAAAAATTTAAGTGATGAAATCAATTTGTTCTTAAGTAGGGAAAGTGTAGGTTATTATGGCGAAGGGATTATTGGGGAAGAGGATCAGTTAACCAGGGCAGACCTATTTACCCTCAAACTCTTAAAATCGTACAATATCATCACAAAATTGTTCAATACACTATCTTAATAGTAAAAAAAAAAAACCTGTACACACCTCAAAATCGTACATTGTAAGCCAAAATCGTAAGAATTAACAGTTATGCCAGGGTTTCTGGGAGAGTGTAGGGTTTGACAGTGATAAGGCAAAGAGGATGTAATTTTTTAGGGGTGTGGTTTAGGACCCAGTGTTGGAGAGGTAGGGAAAAATGGAAGGGTGTGAAATTATGGCTACTATACTGGTATTATAATTCAAAGATAGACCTATGAACAATGATACATACCATTCTCAACTCTCAAGTTACATACCCCAAAACAAAAAATTTTTTTGCCTGGCAAACGCCATGTAGATGTAAAAAAATATATAATTTAAGAATGAAAATTTCATATAATATTTATATTTTTGGGGGAAATTCATTGATTTTTTCTGGGGTTTCTTAGATGAAATTGCACAACAAAAAAATTTATTCCAAAAGCATTAAAACAACATAAGGTTGTCATTAAGGTAAATTTTTATTTGAAGTTAAAACATTTTTAGTTAAAAACATTTATTTTCATTGGATATTTTAATCTATAATATACACATAAATGGTGAAATCCTCAAATTATTTAGACCATTTAATTTTATGCTAGATATGAATATTTTCTAATATTATGTTTCTGTTATACTCTTATATAATTAGGGAGTTATATTCTGCAGTTTCACTATAATCACAATATTTGTAATTTTAATACAATTTAATATCTAAAATTATCATTTTAAAGAAAAATAAGAAAACAATTAAAAATTTTAGACAAACAGACATGTTAATCTCTGCTCCATGGTTATTACAGGTGGTTTTTGGTGATATTTTGCCTGTATTTTCATTCAAAGATGGGCACTGAGAATCCCAGCCGTAATCATTGCCATTCTCTTTGCGGAGATATTCTAGGAGGGGCCTGAAGTAGTCTAGCAAGGGAGCGGCATCCATTTTTTTCTGTCCTGTCATGGTTTCCATGGCAACAGTCCATGGCCGGGAAGAGCCAAGTTGCAACATTTTTCTAGATTAAAATTAAATTCATTTAATTATATCTAATGTTTTCCAAATGATCAGTTATTTGTAAAGTTCAAAGTAATAAAATAATTTAAGAATGCATTAAAATGAAAAAAGTAATTTTAATGAAATCCTTTAATTAGTACCAGTATTTAATATGATTTTTGAGACTTGCTAAATTCTTCACAAAAAAGTAAGATAATTTGTAGTTATATCTATTAGGAAGGATTGTTTAAGTTTCTAAGACAGAGAAGAAGTTGACAGGAAGAAAGTCAAAGGTATAATTTATTCAGTGCTGCCACAAAAATTGGTGTCACTCAAGGGCTGAATAATCAAAGTGTCAACACCCTCCATGGTTTTTCAATAGACCTTCTACAAGTCTGCATGCCTTGGCAAAATGCTCTTTTGTGACCCTGCTATGGTGACAAACTGCTTTAGTGACACCATGCTCTGTGGCAAACTGCTCTAGTGGCATCCCACTCTTGAATTAAACTACTTTGAGTTTGAAACCGACTCCATACAACTCTGTTAAATTTGTTATTTTCCATTTCGTGTAACCCTCAGTCATGATGGTCTGCATGTACTGCACCCCTAAAGGGACGCCAATGAATGTATATAAAAATATATAGCCTTTTAGTTGCTACTGAAGTTAGGTTTAAACAAATTAATTTGTTTAAAAATGTCTAGTTAACAAAACAGTAGGTAGCAAAGACTTAACAAAAAGAATGAAAAAGCTACTGGAATTAATTTTTAATAATAATTTTCTTAATACTACATTAACTTTACAAAATCTAACATCTAGTACATTGCAATGATAAAGAATAATATTTGTACATTGCAATGATCAATAAAAGTATTTAGGTAAATATTTAACATCACTCTCATATGCAGTTTTCAGTTTTTATCTGCTTGGTGCAGTCTTAATTATACCTCTAGTCAGAGGACAGTCCAGAATTTGTTATGTTATTAACATAGGGAAGAGCCAGTTTCTTCTAAATACATGCTGACATTTTTTTGGGTGGCAGATAAGGGAAAAGAAATGTAAACTTTTGCAGTCACGACCCATTAAGAAAAATGTGTCAACACAAGCTAACAGGGCCATAACACCCTTAAATGCCATAACATCAAAAGCAGGTAAGATATTCACCTTATTTTATCTCCAGCCTCTTTACTACCATAGAT